TTTAGATCTCTTGAACTTACAACTTCCAGTATTTTTTGGCTATTTTTTCTGTTTCTTTCCATACAGAAAAGCTATTTGTTGTAGGAATTGTCATGCAACAATTTGTGATGGTGTTCCAAGTGTCTAAGCACAATTCCTGTTTTTAAGGTGTTAGATATCTAGCTGTAATACCTACTTAGAAGGTCAGTGTACTTAGCTGGTTTTCTCATATGCATAGATACCTCCAAAATTATTCAGTTCATAGGTCTAAAAGTGTCTGTTGTGCCTGCACTCCTAATTTAAGTACCTGCAGTTGCAGTGGGATAAATCCAGACCTACATGCTTTCTGGGAACTGATGTATTTTGACCACATTACAATTATGTATTTAAACCACCATGAAGCAATGTTGTAGTTTGTGGACTGGTTTCTTCAGTTTGTGTGTGCTTTTTATTTCTCTAGAGCCAGTGGAAGTTTTCTGTACGTCACTTATGGATTATTTCCGAGATGTGTGCAAATCTGTGGCCATGGAGCGTGAAGTAACTCTTGATCACCTGTTTATTGATGGGACACTTGTTCAAAGCCAAACTGAAACCAAGACTGGGAAGAATAGTGTAAAAACAATGGAAAAGGAGCTGGTGACTTGCAGTCTGCAAGGGAAGGAAAAGGCAGCCCTTAAAAGAAGCCAAATATTTCAAATCCCAGGAGGTAAAGACTTAGAGACTAAAGTGATTGTGGTGCTGGGAAAAGAAAGCATTCTTGTTCAGAAGATCTGCCAGGACTGGTCCAACGGAGAGTTTTCTCAATTTGAATTTGTATTTTGGTTTGACTGCAAACAAATAAGCTTGCCTGAGAAGCAATACAGCCTGAAGGATCTGCTTCTTGAATTTGTTGTGAAACCTCAAGAGGGAAGCAAAGAGATCTTTGAGTATATATTGCAAAATCCTGCTAAAGTCCTTCTGGTTTTTGATGGGTTTGAAGGGTTGCATGATCATGAGAATTTTCCTCGTTGCTCAGCAAGCCAGCCTGAAAAAGACTTGTGCAGTATAAAGGAGCTGCTTTCAGGACTCATCCAAAAAAAGATACTCAATGGTTGTACTTTATTACTTACAGCAAGACCAAAAGAGAAGGTGTACCAGTATGTGTCCAAAGTGGATAAGACTATTGAAATAGTAGGATTTTCCCCTCAGCAGAGAGAATTGTACATAACCAAATACTTCGAAGGGTTACCCTACTGTGATAATGCACTGAAATTAATCAAAGAGTGTGAGTACTTGTTCAGTCATTGTTACAGCCCTGTTATGTGTAGATTTGTTTGTTTTCTCTGTGAGACAGTACTTGAAATGGGAGGCAAAAGCCTTCCTTCAACTCTTACTACAGTCTTCCTGAAATTTGTTCAGCAAAAGATAATACCTATGCAAACAGATGTTACAGCCATGCAAAATCAAGAGAGTCTTGCTATGCTAGCCCATGTAGCATGGTATCTTGGAGAAAAGCATCAAAGTGCCATGAAAAGTGATCTTCTTCATTCTAAGGAAGTTAAAGAATTTGCTCTGAAATACGGACTTTTGCTGCCATTTGCATTCCCCAGACATTCAGATAGTGGAGAAGGGGAATTTGGAAGCACATTCTCTGATTTTGTCATTCAGAATTTCTTGGGTGCACTTCACCTTATGTTAGCAGAAGAGATCAAGGATAAAAGTCTAACAAAGTACCTGTCTTTTCCATCCAAGAAGAAAAAACCTTATAACTGGTTAGATTTAGTACCTCGATTTTTGGCTGGATTGTTGTTCCTCCAAGATGACCCCTACTTCTGCTCCCTTTCAAATAAGGATCTAAAACAATCAACCAAGAAGCAGAAAATACTCTTGAAATGTATTAGAAGGCTGCAGATAAATGAGCTCTATCCGGAGAGGTTACTTGAGCTTTTACATTGTATTTATGAAACACAAAGCAATTATCTTTTGCAGCATGTGGCCTTAAGGCTCAAGCCAGACCTGTCTTTTCTGGGCATAGTTCTTACACCACCTGATGTCCATGTACTGCACTCTATTTTAAAAAGGTCAAGAAAAGAGTTTTCCTTGGATTTACGAAACAGCAGCATTGACATGCAAGGCCTAAAAGACTTGGTTGGCCTAAAGAATGTGACATCATTCAGGTTGGTCATTCTTTATGGATAGTAGTGTCATTCATAGGACTGTATGTAGATGACACTTTCATGCAACAACAGCAGTCATATCTGTTCATTTCCCATGTTTTGTCACTTCGCAGGGCTTCCCTCAGTGATACAGTCAGGCTCTGGAAATCTTTAGAACAGACAAAAGACTACGAACTGTTGAGAGCATCAACAGAGAAATTTGTTCTTGATCCCTTTAAGGCAAAGACAATGAAGGATGTCAGTGATCTTTCAGACCTTGTAGAGATGCAGAAGAAGATGATCAATTGGTAGGCTCATTTATGATCAAAAGTCCTCTTATTTAATGTACTAGCAATTTAAGAAAATAGGGGTTCACTGACAGTGCTGGAGAATGGAGTCCTCTGCTTGTCCAAAGGAGAAGTAACTAAGACAGTGCAAACTCTTGTATCATTTCAGAGTGTTCTCCTACCCCGATGTGTGGTGGTTGTCACGGCAGGGAGGAGCAATGACAGCACCATGCAGAATATTTACCAAAACTAGCAATAAAAAAGTCTGCTGTAACCTTTTTCTTCAGATTTTTTTTTTAATATCCGAGTATGCTGTCTTCTAATTGCTTTCAGGTACATAACTTGGGCTAACTGATTTCTACTCCCTGTAGTGCCTGGGCCATAAATGAAGGCTTGTTTTGCACTGGTCACAAATGATCTGAGTCGGTCCTTTGGCTCAGGAAGTAAAAGCTTGTGTTATGTGATCTATAAACCCTGTGTTTCATCCCTGCTCATGATGTGGCTGGGGGATTGGTTGCAATTAAAAGCACATGTAAAGTATTTTGGTTGCTTTTTTTTAAATAAAAATGGTAACTTCCATTCCAACACAGGCCGAGTATTTTGATTAAAATATATACAAAACAAGTTTTGTGTTTGACAGAAAATACTTGATTTAGAAGAATGTATTTTTAAGTTTTATTGGAAAAAGAGCAGACGACTGCACTACAAAAGGCAATTACCAGATTGAAATGAATCAAATAAAGAAAGGTTGGAGCAGAACTTATTATGAAGTTTCCTGGTTCCTCAGTTAATGCCACAGTGGCTTATTTCCTGTAAAAGTTTACTAAGAAATTATTTTTAAAGCACTGTTTTGGTTGCTAAAATATTTATCATATTCTGGTTCTGCTGTGATTTTAGTGTGCAAGATGCATCTGATTGCAGCAGCTATGAAATTCCTGCCATCAAAAACCTCAGAAAACTAGAATTTGCGTAAGTGATATACCTCTCTGTTGATTGATACATGATTGCATTTAAGACTGAGAAGAGTCTTGGATATTGGCTACAGTCACTGAACTGATGTATAGTTAGTTTATGGTAAAGCATTAAGTAAACCCCATTTATTGCTATTTCGCTTTTCTCAACTAGATTTATTAAGTTATGGCCAAAACTCAAAACACATCATTTCTGGGTCCTGCAGTGATACAGATCAACATGGTTCTATCAATTTTGTTTCATTTTACTACAAGTTAGCTCCTTATCACAGGAAGTGGATCTTGTGCCACAGGGCATAAAATATCTTGATTGTGATCCAACTGCCTGGGAAATATTTTTTCCCCAGAAATGCTCAACTTTTCTGAGTCTTCTGATATAATTTTCTGCCCTATCAGAGTTTAGGCCATGAGAGAGTAAGGTCAGAGAATGCCTCCCAAACAAAATATTTAGCACCATTTTCCTGGAAGAAGGAAATTGACTTGGAAACAGTGATTTTAAAAATGAGGCGTAGTAACATTTCTTTTTTCGCCACAAACTGTAAGCATCCTCCAGGGCTATTCTATTGCTTAAAATATCCTGCTATAGTATGTGAATTAGTTGGGGCAGATTTTGCACCAATGCAATGGAGAACTCTCACGAGGTCTTCATCTGTTTCCTGCTCTTCACATCTGACCCAGTCTAGAACTGCTATGCTTGGCCTCACTTCTGATTTTATGCTGCTTTCTCTTCCTGTTTCCTCTCCTCCTTTCCCTTTATTTTAAATTTTTGGTTAAATTTCTCATCCTTTTAACTAAGCTGAACTTGTTCTGATACCAAGGAAACTCCAAATAAGAGGTTTAGCATCTGAAGGACAAACGCTTGGGGCTGGAATGTTAAAGTTCAATTTATGCTTTAAGCTGCAGTAAAATGTTTATATTAAGTTAGTCTGAATTGCCAATAGTTGGAAAAAAATATTTTTTCTCTGTTACAAAGATTATAATACTTAAAAATTAAAAACCTGAAAAAAAAAAAAAGAAAAAGAACAGAAATAGAGGAGTCTAAAACAAGCGAGATGAGTCTTGCAAAGAGTAACAAGAAAGTTGGTAAATGCATGTTCTGCTGCTGCTGTGCAAGCAGCTCTGCTCTGTCTGACCTTAGCCTTGTAGGGTCCTCATCTGGAGGCTTCAAAGCAGAAATCCTTTCTGCAGATGGTAGGGAATGGCTTCTGAGGAGTATAAATTAGCTTGCATTTGGGGCTGCAGGGGAAGAACTTAAAAATTCATAACTCTTACTGTTTCTCAGCATGTGAAAAAACTGCTGCATGTTTATATTTATTTCTTCCAGGCTGGGTCCAGTATGTGGCCCTCAGGGATTCCTGAAACTCGTGGAAATTCTTGCAGCATTTCCATCACTTCAGCATTTAGAGTGAGTAATGCTAAAGATTAATTTTGCTAATGTTGTTCCTCAGCAGCCCTTGATGACGGGGGAGCTCGTGTACCCAAGAAACATTTTCTTTGCCAACAAGACTACTTGCTTTGAACAAACTGGACAACAAAAACATGCGGAGAATATAACAGATTAAAAGCTAGCGCTCTTCATCCTCCCTTAAGACACTTGGCAGTGCTTTGTTTGATACCCCTTCAGTCACTTCCCTGTGTTTTCCTCAGTGGTTAAAAGCTTGTGGGAATGGTTTAGTACAGAGCCCCACTGGGTGCTCCCCTTTCCTGCCACGGCACTGACCAGCACTGACCGTGGATTACTTATTTCTTCATTCAAGCTCTGTAGCATGCCTGAGTCCCAGGCTCCCTCGTGGTGAGGTTTCTGAAGGACTCACGGTTGTGAGTGTTTCAGGAGAGAAGAGGCTGCCTTCTGAACCAGCTGCAGTGTAAAATTTGGGGGTTAATTTCAGTATTTGTGCTGGTGCTGTGCCCCTTCCGGTGTCAACGAACATCCTGAACTTCTGGTAGAACTTGGGAGAGATTGAGCTTTGTGGATTTGATTCATATAAAAGATATAAAAAAGCCATACACAGCTAGTATCTGGTTTTGTTCTGCCCTGCCCATGTATTTTCACATAGTCTTTGTCCCTTCTTTTACCAGAAGCAGTATTAGAAATAGAGTTTTAAGAACTCCAGTTACTATTTATTCTCTTGTATCCATGACAAACCAGCTGCCTCTGAATTTTAAGCTTCTTTACACTAGAAACAGTTGTAGCAACAATAGTCGATATTCTGCCGTCATCTCTGTGGCTAAGATTACTGGTTTTGAGAGGGCCTTTGGCCTTACTGGCTCAGCCCATTGGCCATTTGTCTGTATTGTATCTGGCCTTTTCATGATATTTTGGGAAAACAATAAAGCTCTAAAATTGGAATGAGTCCAATGTATCCCAGCATTATCTGTCAGATTAGAAGGGGATCCAGTATCTAAAATTGTGACTACCTAGAACTCTTTCCATCTGGATACCTGAATGAGGAAAAACTTAATTTCTGGAGAAGGAGCTCTTTAGGCAGGGGTTTATGGCATCTGCTGGATTTTGTCAGTTCTGTATTTCTGTGTGCACAGGAAATCTCATTTCAGCATAGCTGGAACACAGCTATTTCATAACTGTTTTAATAATCTTGCATATCAAAGGAAATGGGTCAAGCCATTCAACTAGTAAAAAAAAAAAATTCTTAGGCTGTAAATTTGGGAAGCAGAAAGCTGCTTATTAAAGAAGCTGTAATTTGTGTGATGCCTCTTCCTGACTGAGGCTACTGAAGAGAAGAGGCTTCTCAAGATAGAGATAGTGTGGTCTCTGAGGTGAATAAACAGCAAAGATTTAGAATTAGCTTCCCTTTTAATCTTTCTTTGTCGTCACCCAGCCTTGATGCTCTGAGTGAAAATGGCATAGGAGATGAAGGAGCAAAGAGTCTATCTGAAGTCTTTCCAACCCTGAGATCACTGGAAACTTTAAAGTAAGTGCAAGGTTAACAGTTCTGGGAAATTTTGAAAAGAAATAGATTAAACCTAGAACCTTAAGGGACTGTGTGTTAACAATTATGAGCACAACTAACCCACAGGCATGGAAGATCAATGAGTCTATGGACATACTTAATCTGTACATTCATTAGAGAAACAGGTTAATCCTATGGCATTTCCTCATTTCGCTCCAAGGGTCATAATTTGTCTTTTTTCCTGCATTTGGTCTAAACGGACTGTCCAAATGGTATTAAAAAAATTTAAAAGAAAAAATTGAAAAGGAATTTTCCCCACACTGTGATAAATTAGAATAAATGTGCTCAACTAACAAAACAATCTCACTTACTGTAGCTTATCGCAGAATAAGATAACAGATGTGGGTGCGGAGAAACTAGCTACAGCTCTTCCTTCCTTGTCTTCATTAAAGACACTAAGGTAAGTAGTTGTATCCTGTTCAGTTGCTTTATACAACATACCTTCCTATCTCTGTCAGAAACTACTGAACATGGAACAAATATGTACACTGTACAGCAACCAAGCTTTTAACTTCATTCTTGCATAAAGCCTTTAGAGAGGAGGGGAGAGAAATGTATAACCCAGTGTAGACATGCAGAAGGATATCTCAGGAATATAACAAGGATTGTACTGATTTTTAAATCCAATCCATAATACCTACTCATGAATAATACCCTGTACAAATGTGCACCCAGGGCTATGATCTACTGCAAGCTTATGCGGAACTTGCTAAGTGCAGTGCTAAGCCCTAAGCCAGCAACGAGGTGGTGTGTGTTTGCTGATACGGGACCGATGGTCCATCCCACTTCATTAAAATATCTGGCACAGACCTGAATGAAGTGTCTCAGTAGGGAATGCAAGAAACCGTGGTGTGCAATTCTGGAATAATTTGCTCACATGGAAATCTTTTGAATGCTGTGCCCCACATTTTTGAGCTTCATTTTCTTGCAGATTTTTAATTTGATCTAATGTAGACAGAAATGTTGTCATTATTCATTAAGAATCTAGATCTATTTTTACTGTAGGTGTGCTAGCTGAAGGAGGGACGAGGCCATTTGCCTTACTTGATACAAAAAATATGAAACGGTGATTTAAACATTAACTGCGAATAGATAAGGATAAATTGGAAGTTAAGATATACCAGCCATATCTGAAATTCCTTGATGTAATATATAATCTGTTTACGTTATCCATTATTCAATTGTGACTATACCGATTTGGTTTTCTGCAGCTTGTACAATAATAGCATTTGTGACTTTGGAGCAGAAAATCTTGCGAAAGTTCTTCCTGCGATGGCATCTTTAAGAGTGCTAGAGTGAGTATGAAATCTTTTGAGATGGCCTAGGCAAGCTTACTTGCTTGGATACTGAAAATTCAAATTTTCTGTGCTCAGGGTAGAGGAGACAGAAATTGAGGAAGAAAATTTTAGGGAAATTTCACAGGGAAAATGTGCTTATGCAGAGTCCAGATAGTCAGCGGTTAGAAAGGATTAAGGAGCAGTTCACCATAAAAATTGAAAAATTTGTTTTAAGATGGGAGAATCGGGTCGTGGGGATTTGGAGAAGGACCTCAGGTACATAGAATAAGGAATCCCTCAGATGAACTAACTTAACGAAGTTTCCTTTTGACCTTTTGAGTATTTTATTACAGGTTTTTTGAATCAAGGATCTATTTTAGTTTTTTCTTTTTCTTTTTTCCCCCATCTGCAGATAAGCCTGTATAGTATTTTTGATTTTGAATGAAATATTTGATTACACTACTACATGATGTGATCTGGATTAACAAAGGTGTGGGTTGTTTTTTTTTTTCTCCTTAGTGTTCAGTATAACAAAATAACTGGTGTTGGAGCCCAGCAGCTGACTGACAGCCTACGAAAATGTCCTCATATAAAGAACTTGGTGTAAGTCTCTCGATACGCTGTTTGCTGTATCTTCGTTCTGTAAATTGGGTTAGAATTCATGCTAAAGCTGTGTTCTGTATTTGTCAGTTTTATAAAAGGCACAAAAAAAGACATCACGAAAATACAAAAGCAGTCACAGATATGTTAAAAATGTTGTCTCTAGTTTCAGCTGATTCAGATGATTAATTCCCAATCATCCCAGGCAAGCAAGCTTGTCCTGCTTTAAGCATAATTTACACTGAGTCTCCCTTTGTTGATATTCTACCCTCTCAGGGTACCTGACCTACTCTGTGCTGTAGGACTTGTATTTGAAGGATAAACAATGAGCAGCCATCATTAGAGGTTAAATAGACTGAAGCTGCCAGTACACATTTGGGGCAAGGGAGTTTGATAGAAAGCTAAAGAATAGGTATGGGGACAGAACTGTAGTGTGTCCTATAACCAGAGTCAGCCAGGTTATGGAGGAGTGAACTGCTTTCTTCTAAATGAAAATGTATTTTTGTTTGTTCCATAGCTTAAATACTTTTATAGAATGATATTCAAAAGGGAAAGGCAACGTTAAAAAAAAAAACAAAACAAAACCCCACAAAAATACCAAACACACCAAAAAAAACTGTGAAGCAAATTACGCTTCTTAAAATCTCTTTTCTTTCTGAATTTAACCTTACAGGATGTGGAATCCCACCATTCCCTATGGAGTTCTTGAACATCTTCAGCAGCTGGACTCTCGGATCAGTGTGTAGATTCAGATGATCCCATAAAGGTAATATAAACCCTGGCTTCCTGAGACAGCAAGATTTGTTTCTGTGGCAGCTGTTGATTCTGGTCTCACTGGTAGCAGGCACAGTAACAGTACCAATGCATACCTGGCTAAATAAAGAGATGCTGCCCTAGAGTGGCACAGATCAATGTCACATCAAGGCCCCCTTTCCCCTCACTCACCTTGCATTCCCCATCTCCCTGGCATCAGCACCAGCAGGCTGCAAGGGCTGCATCAACAAGAACGGACTTCTAGGACTCCTAGTTCAGCCCAGTTCGGTGACTGGCAGCTGGCCTGCTTACCTTCCCTTTTCTGTTGCGGAAAACTAAGTACCTCTGTGTACTTCTCGTGTTTAATAGATTAGTTCTGTACCCCTTAGAGATTGTTTTGTATTGATTTTTAGTAAGTCCTTTCACTTTTCCTTTGTTTAATACAAATCCTCAACAGCTGCTCATCTCGCTATGAAGTTGTGCCTATACTGTACTCAGAGCAAACCATTGGTTACTACATTCCTTGTTCTCAGTCTGTTCTGTGTGGTTTAGCCACTGGCAGCCACTTTTACTTCATTGATTCTACCTGCACAATTTCAAGGATCCTTGAAATAATTGCATGGTTAGCAATTTGCTAACAGTTTGCTGATGATCACCAGGATCTGACTGCCTTGACGCACCTGGATTGAAGGAGCTGTAGCAGGCATGGGAGGTTAGGGTTTTGTGTAGGATTTCTGCTCCCAGTTTTCTGCTGTATGCTTCCTCTTGCTCTTAAAAAAAATTATGCAGGATGCATCAGTGAAATGATGCCAGTGAAGAATGAGAAGCCAGAGTCAAGCTGGACACCAGATGCCCTCCGGCTTTCTTTCAGATGGCAAAAAACACGTTGCAGAGTGATTGCCAGCTGTTTGAGCTGTGGTTTTAATGGTCCTGGCAACAGCTGCAGTTGCCAGTGGCTCCCTAAACCATTCAGTGAGCCAAGCTTTTGCATGACTCTTGCTCTCAGTGTGCTAATCACCAGATGTAGCCTGGGCTATATATATGGCACTGATGAGGCTACAGGTTGTGGAAGACTTGAGTGCCATACCAGCTTCATGGACTAGCTTTATACAGTAGCAGTGAAAAATTGTGGTAATCTTTAAGCCTACAGTACAACTAACTTTGTCTTGTTGAATAACCATACCTACTTGGGCACAAAGGTATTAGGCGTATGAGCACTGCCAGGCAATCTTACAAATGCAAAGCTTTCTCTGAGCTCCTGTGTCTGGTATTTAAGGGAAACATGCAATAACAGTCTTTGAAAATGTAGGTCAGCTCCCAAATGACCTTGGTTTTCCTCTGGACACAGAGCAATGGCAGTCAGTGGTAGAAAGCTCCACTCTGTGAAAGTCGGTGATTCTTGGAGACTGGTCAGCTTTCACACAAAGCAAAAGATTTGTTTAACACAACTCTGCATAAGCAACGCCTTGCATCTCCCTCCACTGCTGTTCTCTCATGTTTGCAGCATATGCCTTTGGCACTGGTTACCACATCGGTATAGTATCTGAGTATGTAAGGAAACATTCTTCTTCATTAGCACTGAGGATAAGTAGGAGCAGGAGGTCTGGATCCTGTCTCCCAAACTTGAAACATCCAGCATCTACCAGTCACTGTTGTCTGTTTTCAGAGCACATCAAATACATGGTTTTGGTGATGTTAATGGTGATTAAGCTGATGGGCATACATCTAATATTCTGTTTTCATCATTTCACAGGTAACATAAAGAAGAGGGGAAGGTGTCCTCTGTGTTTTCCTATCTTCTTGCTGCTTTATGAATCAGTGGCTGATTGTGGCATGATAGTGGCAAAATGAAAAAAAGTCTTACATTTAAGCTTCTGAGTGATGCTTGAAGTGGGTGAATGATGGAGTTCAATTTTTTTAAAGGTCATTTAAAATGCTATTCAAAGACCCAGTTGTCTTTCTACTGAAATGATGAAGAGTTAGGCAACATCAAGTTTCAAAGATGAAAAGAGCATCTGGATATTGTGATCACCATTAAAGGTGACCAGGAATCACCAGGATATTGATAGTATAAAATTCCATCATCGATTGATCAAAGAGTAGAGTTCAAGCTGCTGCACCTGCAACATCTGAAGTAGTGACAGGTCAAATCTAATTGTTTCATGGTACCGGTGGTAACTGTGATCAAATTTGGTTTGATGATTTTTGGACTTCCAAAGCTCAATGTTATAGATTTCACCTCTTTGTCTGGACTGATTTGAAGGATTAGTGTCAGGAACATAAATAAGAATGATCAGTCTTAGAAAACAGTCTGATATTGTAAGATTATCCACAAGAATCTAGATGTGGCTCTTGATGCTAATCACCAATGCTGTCTTAAGAGATAGAAAGATATTTTCTATCACTCTCTTGTTATAGAATCCTTCAAAAAGATTGGGGAAAAAAGAAGGAAGTAAAGAGAAGAAAGGAATTAAAACTGGAAAACTATTAAGGATTTTTCTGACATTATCGCAGAAATCCAAATGCATACAAATAGCTTCAGTTTATTGCACAAAAATCTCAAAGTGACAATCTTCAAAGGTTTTTACTCTGTCTCAAATGAGAACTAAATTCATACACCTGGATTGGGATTTAGTTTCTCACTTGCAGGTGGCAGTGTAAATCTACAAGCATCAATTTTATACTTGACGGTGAAATCACTGTTGTGTGTGGTTTATGTGGCCTTCTTTTAGAGAGTTATTAATAACTAGGCAATGACAGACAATAATGTATTTCAAAGCATTATGATGTGTCTGTGCTGCTGGTCTTAGTGATATGTGGGCCAAGTACTGGTCCTGCTGACTGCAATAGCAAACCAATTTTCTCCTTTCTTCTTTCATTTTAGCTCTGTGAATGTGCAGAGAACTTATAATCATACAGAGACAATTGTCAGGACTAGCATTATGGCTTCCTGTCCAGATACAGTCTGGAGATGGGGGGGGGAGAGGGATGGAAAAAGCTAGGAATATTTGATATGCCAGAAATTGGGAAGGGAGGTCTCTACTTCATGGTTAACTCGGGGTTAGCTCAACAACCTCCTTGAAATGTCTTCTGCTAGGAAGCACTGACAATACTGACCCAAGGATCTATGCAGACTAGAATCTCTCAACTAACCTCTCAAATATTGTGTTACTTGGTTTTAAAAAGTCCTCAATTTAAGCAGTGCAAAACCACAATCTTTATGTTCTTTCCAGCAAATTATACTTCTCTGCTAAAGTTTCAGTGCCTGCAGAATTTGGACAGCAGGGATAGAGGGTGGACAAATTAAAGAAGGAAGGAAGGAACGTCTGGTTTGTTGTTTCTGTTAATCAGAGGAGAACAGGGAACCACACATAGTTTGTGAAGGAAATAGTACAAGCAAGCAAGGTGGAAAAATTCTATGGAGAATATGATTGTAACTAGAAAGTGGTATTTTTCTTAACTATCTGCATGGTTCTCTCTAGCCAAACTCCAGCCAGAGTCATGGGAAAAATCTCATTTACACTCCCCTCTTTCAGCTGATTGAATGGGTGGTAGTTTGAGCCAAATCTTGTGTGATGTTCCCATCAGCCTGTAGTGCTTCAGCCGTGCAGATCTCAGGTGAGCCCTTGTCTTGGCTTCCCTTAACTAAGCTTTGGATGACAAATGTCCCTTTAGGGACATATTCTGCAGCCACGCTTCACTGTGACTGAATTTGAGAATGTGCTACACATTACAGAGGTAGCTGAATGTTACAGGACCCTGTCTGCACTGATAAAATCATGTTGGGTATACTACTGTTCTCTTTCTATGAATTAGTGGGAGATGGATGTTTATAATGTACAGATTGTAAATTGTGATATAGTGTTTTAGTTGTCTTTATACACCTTTTTTTAAAGTATTAATAAAAGTGAGTATTCCTTTTTACAGTAGCTTGTAGTACCCATTGAAAATTATTTTGATTTTTTTTTTCTCTTGGAAACACTGTGAAACCACTGCTAACTTCTGAACATAATGACATGGTCAGGGCTTTGTACTGTAGGTTAACAGAAAGCACTGTGCGCGAGGGAGACAGGGTGGTCCTGCTGGCACTCACGAGTTCAGTGGTCTGGAAATGGAGAAATAATTCTTTCTTAACAGACAATTGGATCTTGCAATGCCAACTGACAGACTGCAAGTCCAGAATTAGAAGATATAGAAGTGCTGACTAAAGCCGCCTGCTGATAACAGGAAAAAGGGTTTTTTTCATCCTTTCAGACTTTTTGCAGTTAAAAGTTCTACAATTAATCAAGGTTCAAAGTCTGGATATTCTTGTGGCACAAAGCTCATCCCAAATGCTTTTGTCAAATGAATGCCTTGTGTGTAGAGGATTGAGTTCACTGGCTACCCTAAAAAAGCTGTTCTGATCAAATCTGTGTTCTAAAAATCTTTTAGGATGAGGAAAATGCTATTCTCTTTATGCCCATGCTCTTTTTGTTGTCAAAGGAACCTTGTTAAAATGCTAAGGCTTGTGTTATGATGGTAGTTCAGACCGTAAAGTCTGAGTACTCTCCCCATCCTTTAAATGTATGAAGCTGAGCTGTTCTGAGAAATCAGAAATCTTGATCTAAGATTCAGAATCTCCAAAGTGAATTACTTGGAGGAATTCGTAATGCTCAGGTTGTGCATTGTGGCACAACCCCACTTAAGGGAAATTATTACAAACTAGTAGATACTGCAGTAAGTACCTATAATGACAAACTAAACCATGTTCTTAGAATGGCATACATGTGACCCTGAAAAATTAGTGTAAGCCATCTCTGTGAACAGTATGAATTTCTAATTATACAGGCAGCAGGAAGGCCGCCTTCAGTAGCAAAACTCACCCTTTCTCATCTTAGTACCAAATGGGCATGTGAACACAAGATTAACAAGTTTTTAAACTTGGCTATTCTTTATATAGGGGCCTAAATGGGGGTTTAGTTCCTTAAATGTACCTTTACGTGTTAGAATATTG